AGAAGCAGAAATAAAAGAAACTTATTACTAGGTGCGATACAATCTTAAAGAAATCTAGTAACATAATTATAATCCTGCAAATTTTAAGTCAACAAAAAATAAATAAATATTGAAAAAAGATAGAAAAGAGAAATAAAATAAAAACGTTGAAAAAGAATATTTAAAGGAATTAAGAACAAAGTTCAAAATTTTAGATTTCTTTATATCTTTCTCTAATTTTTCCCTGAGCAATTTAAATTTCCTGGTTTTATAACTTTTCCTGATTTTTCAGATTTTTCAGGTCTGTAGCAACTATTAAGTGAACATTCAACTGTGAAGTGGCTCTGAGTTACTAATGACCGTCTTTCACAAAATTTTTGAAATAAAAATTCCCTCAGATATTTCTTTCCGAAACTACACGCTGAGCTTTCTCACTTACATAAGAGTTTTTCTCCGCGAAGAATCGTTTCCCCTTCATTTCACAAAGAGACAGTTTCGTGACATTTCACTCTTCATAATTTTTATCCAAGAATGTTTATATATTTAATAATGATAGATAAACCGAATAAAGTGGATCGAGAGATGCACGGAAGTATACGTTCGTAAAACGTCATGTCGCTCTAGAAGGCTGAGATTAGCAGAACTCTCGCGGCCTCTCGGAGAGGAACTCGAGATGAAGAATAATTTGTAGGAAGATGCTGCAACCGGTATCCCATCGTCGAGTTACGGGCACAGGTGAAGTCGGGAGCGACGCATAATCGACGGTGCGTAAACCCGGCAGAGGAACCGACCAACCGACCAACCGACCGACCGACCGACCGACCGACCGACCGACCGACCGACCGACCGACCGACCGACGAACGCGGACTTGGATTCTTCTAAAAATAATACCCGTCGCGAGACGCGCGCCTGACGAGAGAACGCGAACGCTGCCGACCAAACATCATGCCGAGTGAACGAAACGATCGAACAAACGAAAGAAGGAATGAACGAACAACGGATGGACTGACGGAACTCTGCCGTGACCCTTCGGAATTTGCGAATAGAGCAAATTTATTATGCGAATTCGTTTCTTCGGGGTCAAAGCACCGCGACAGCGTGCACTTTACTGCCTATTGCATGCGAAGTAAAACTAATACATATTTAAGCTTCGACTAGAGAGAAGGAAAATTAAGTGTTCTAAAAGACAAGATAAAATATAAAGTTATAGGTAAAATGTAAATTTATTGTAAACGTTATTTTACGCGTGAAATAGTATGTTGGATTCTAAATCGGAAATAGAAAGAGAATAATGTATGCGAGAAGAGAATGACAGAGACAGACAATGTCTGTCAAACATGGAGGCAGAGGGGAGGAGAGGAGAGGAGAGGAGAGATCTAAGAGAAATCTGTTTGTTGTAAAGGAAAAGACATTAGTGAACACTGTTGCGTACCTTAGGAATGCAAAACATGAGCAACTTGACTCAACCGTTATTTTAAATGTAAATACTATGTCGGCTGTCTTATCTGAATGAGTCCGGTTATCAGCTCGCAAACTTGTATATGTAAAGTAAGACGAAAACGTGCGGCGATATGCCGCGAGAGAAAAATGTATCGTAATCGCGACTTCTCGTGAGAGATACGTCACGATCCAACCTGAAAGCACAAAAGGAAAACTAATCCAGGTAACATAATTAGTGTAAAAACTTAAAACGGTATATTAATAAAGATATATCATATTTGTTAATTTAAAACTTTTTCTTTATCTCTAAGAATTTCTTCCCTCGAGACATCCTTTCTTATTCTAATATCCAACATCAGAAAACAAAAGACGAAACAGAATTTGAGAGTCTTTACAGTATGTGAAATACACATGCGGTGCGTACTGTATTTTCTTTGAGAAAATAAAAGACAAATCTGAAAATTTTAGAGCTTTGTTTTTACGTATTTCCAAACTTTGTTTGTGGCTGTCGGAATTTGCACGTTACGAAATTTTCTTATATACCAAAATGAGATACTGGCAATTTTCCGATGGTTTGAAATTACTTCGACTGTGTTAGAATCCTTGATTTAAATTTGAAATAGGCTCGAAATAATAAAAAAAAATAAAAACAAATCTAGCCTGAACAATTTTACTTCAAAAAATTGAAAATACGATGAACGCAAGAAAATTCATATTTACATTTTATATATTTTATTTTTTAAAAATTGATTCATTAGTGCGACACCGAACATTACAGAACATTAATTAAAAAGGAATTTCCCATAAAATAAAAGACAAGAGTGAGTTTCGAGAAAATGAAAAAAATATAAAAGACCATCCTTTAAGATAAAGAACGTACGGCCATCACGTGATTATGTATGCGGAATCTATTGTGGCGCGGGGTTACGGAGGTCGCGAAAAATGTGTCAGCCTCGTACGAGGAGCATCGTCGAGGCAATCGCGAGATTTCGCACGGAGGCGAGATACGCGGAAGCTGGCGCGTGGCGTAGCGTCGCGCCGGAAGACGTCGGCTACCGCGCCGCTCCGTGTCGGCGCGTACCGAGGAACAATAACGCGGTTATTCGAGGAGGGAGCCAAGACTTTCTACGTAGACACGACGGTCGAGAGTTTAGTATACCACGGCGAAGCACCGTTAGGACACTAAACTTTTATTGCGACCCGTTTTCCCTCGCTCGCGCTCGCAGGCGGAATATCGGCATCACCTTAACCCGCGAGACCAACAACGTCGGCTCGTTAATCGGGAACTCTCGAGAGATGCGGCTTCTCTCCGCCGCTTTAATCACGCCGACTTTTCCGCGGCCAATAAAAGCGCGCGAGATCTTCGAATAAAAAAGCGCAAGGAAGGCGAGAAAGCCGCGACTTGGATGTTAAACTCTTCGCGAAGTTAACTTTGAATCGACTATTTGTCTTTCTTTTTTTAATTTAATTTTAGAAATTGAATCGCGAATCATTTTGAGAAACGCATGAATAAGAATTAATTGATCTAAGATGGAATAAAAAAGCATAACAAAAATTTGTAAAACATGGGTGCAAAAAATTGCATTATCTAATACGCGATGTAATGCCAAGATTAGAAATGCCAATCTCATTCCAACACAGAAAAAAGAAATGATATATAAAATGTAATTTAAAAATTTGTTACTCTCGCTCGAAGATATTATGAATTTTCGGATTACTCGACAAATGTCTATTTTTATCAATGTAGATTAATTTAGTTCTCGGATGAACTTTTCAACTTTTACCTTTGAGAATTAGAAAAAGATAAAGAATAACTTAAATCGAGATTAAAGTTAATCTATGTTGAGGGAAATAAACCAAGGATTAACTTTGCCTAACTGAAAGCTAACTTTTTCGAAATCATAATGCAAATTTACAATATCATCCATGATGATTTCACAGCGAGTATAAAGAGCACGATTCAATCGTGTATTCTCGGTACGACGAAGGCACGGCATTACTGATTACGGAACGTGACGCGTTCACGTTAATCGGCATATGACGAGACCTTAACGTTCTTCGTATTGCAAAACCGCGCGGTATTGTTTATAGTTGGCATCGCGTTAATCAGCGAGCGACTGAAAACAGTGGGCGACGCGCTCGATATACGCGCGATGCACCAAAATAATCAGTCGCTCGGACGGAAGCTCGGTCGAAGAAGAGAGAAGAGAGAGAAACGGGAGCGACGGGCGAAAGAGAGACGAAAGATCGCAGGCATCTACGTACCTATAAACACGCTCGGCAGACACGCACACAGATGCGAAGAGGGGAAGGGAGAGAAAGAGAAAGAGAGAGACGGAGAAAGAGGAAGAGAGAGAGAGAGAGAGAGAGAGAGAGAGAGAGAGAGAGAGAGATCGAAAAAGGTAAGCGTAACAATAACGATAAAGGCTATTTGACAGTGATTACGTTGTGATATTTTGAACAGATTGATTTTTCTTGATATTACTGATATCTAGCTTCTTACTAGTTTAGAATTGCAAAGTTCTACTGAAAATATTCGAATACACCTCTTTTGAGTCTCAAAGTAGGAAAGTGTCTGTTCATTTATTTCAGATACAAAGTAGAAGATCGATTTGTATAAAATAAATCTATATCATAAAGTACTCTAGAATTTATAAATTTTTAAAATTAAGATTAAAAGTAAGAATAAAATTTCGAATTAAATTTTATTGTATATATTATATAAATTTGTATACTTATATAAATTTTATTTATATTCACGCATATTATTTGTATTCGCATATCTTCTCTCATATTCTAGATTGTGATTACTTTATATGAATTAAGCTTTTACTTTGCATCTAAAATAAGAACTAAACGGACATATGCAATCTCCTACTTTGAGATTCAAAAAAGAAGTTTTTGGCTATTTTCAATAAAATTATGAAAAATATATAGATTATTCTAAATTGCACATTTAAAAATAATGCAAAAAGGCAATTTAAAACTTAGATCGAAAATTATTTGATAAAAATATCAAATATTTATATATAAATATTTTAAATATTCCAGATTATTTATGTAAAATATTGTAATGCAGAGATTAGTTGTTCTGTAAATAAAAATTAAATTTTATTTGTTCACTATTCGTTTGGTTTGTACTCTTAACAAAAATTTAATCTTTATTTACAGAACAACTAATCTCTGTATCGCAATAAAATATCTTACATACTTCATCTTGAATACTTAAAACAATTAAGATTTTTAGCATTATTTTTTAATTACATTTCTATTAAAACATATTTCTATTTTATATTTAAATAATTTTTGATTCGGATTTTAAATCGCCGCTAGATCTTTTTGCACAGATCACTTTTAAATGCAATTTAAAATAATTTATAATTTTTTCATTATAAATAAAAATAAGTGTAATATATTCTTAATTAAAATAAATGTAAAATTTCCAAAGATTGAAGTTAAAACTAAAGAAAAAATTTCTATTCGACATATGCCTTACGAATTAACGGACATCGCAAATCTTTAAAGACTTTTCTATGACAAGACCGAAGACTTACAGACGTGGGTGAGAAAGAAGCGAGGTTCAGAGGTCGGAAGATGATGGGGAAGAAATGCGTAAGAAGCAGTGAAGAAGCAACCGAACGCGAGATAGCCATAAATCCCGAGTAATCTAAGAGATTTATGTTCACAAAGTAATGAATCCACTGGCGCGCGCGGATCTCGCTCGTTTTTTTATTTCTTTTTTTTCGCGTCAAGAAAATACGAATTCGTGTCCCATATCGAGATGCGGCGAAATACTCGAGGTGTCGCTTCCCCGAGGTGTTATCCTCTTCCTCATCACTTAGCGCTGCGGCGATACAAAATTTAAAACGGCAATTTGTCACCGTCGCGCGCGAAAAAACGCGATGCGATCTGCTTGCGATCTGTTTTTCATTCTTTTTTCCATTTCCGTTCATTTTGTTCTTCGCTTTACCCCTTTACGTCGTCGTCTTGTTTCCGCCCTTCGATTCCCACCTCGCGCGGACGGGGATTAATTTTCGAAATAAGATTGAGGGGGGTCTCGGGGAGGAGAAGGGGTAAGGGGGAGGGAAGGTAGAGGAGCGGAAGGAGGATACGCGCGTTTACCGTCAACGAAAATTCATTACGCGCCGCCGGTTTATCAGGCCCGCTTGTCCGCCCACCTCTTGTATCTTCATTAAATCTCCGCTCCGCGTCGCGGG